ATTGGTGGATTTAGTGGAGAGGACTTAAACTGATTGGCTCATATAACTGTCCGATTACAGGTGTCCGATAACAGGCAACTGTCCGATTACACTGTCCGATTACGACTTTGCAGATTAATTAGAGTAAAATACAGCAGTTTATGCACCAGTCACATTTGAGTAAATTGTAATTGTTATTGTTATTATTATTATTACTATTATTATTAGTAATAGTAGTAGTAGTAGTAGTAGTAGTAGTAGTAGTAGTAGTAGTAGTAGTATCATAGTCATGGTCAGCGAAAAGGCCTTTTTACTTGCAGTGGACTAACTGGTCAGCTTAAAACTAAACTTCTAGATCTGATATAATTGTAAGACGGTTGGCTTTGTTTAAGGATATGATGGCTCAGCTCATAAATTATCGATATATACCGGTAAGTTGAGTGATGCATTTCTGCCTGAAGTGTTCTGACGTCAGAATCACTTTAAACCAATCAATACGTATTGCTCAATTTCTTGGGAAATATTTCAACATCACGTAACCATTGTTCTCATTATTGCGTTCAACTATTTTTGATATTGTTCCCTTGACTTTCACAAACAGAAGTTACCCTGGTACATGTATGTCGTAGAATTCTCTCTTATAGAAAACCTCAAAGCTTGTTATGTAAAAATGCTATTCACAATAACTGTGTCAAGAGAAGATATAATAGAAATAAAGTCGGCTATTATACTGATCAAGGACGAACCCTTTCCTTAATAACAAACTAGTCATTAAAAATCTTTTAAAATGGCTGAGCTTAATCGAAATCACTTTTACTCAGTTCACTAGCAGTCGCTGCACTGACTTTGTTGAGTTAAGTTAAGTTCTCTGTAAAATTAGGTAGCTCTTATTAACTCCAGGCAGGTGCTTAATTACTTTTTCCGCAGACCATAACATGACGCGTTTAGGCCAGATTATTTAGCATATTTTCAGGTTGCCCTAAGAGATTATGCATTAGCCTGGAAAGAGACAGAAGCACTGTGAGAGTTAAGTGCCTTGCCCGGGAAACGGCACAATCTGGACCAGTTCCAATTCCGATACCAAACTCTCCGAAAATATTTAAAGTGCCTATGAAGTAAAAAATAATTGCTGCTTATTTGAAAGGCTTTTCAAAGTAAAGAAGAATGGTGTTTTCCTATTTGGAATATCTTTTTTTGTTTTAGAGATATTTACGTTTTTGTAAGGAAAGTGATGACGTCATAGGTGGTTCCACTAAAACAGCACAACATTCAATCAAGAATAACTCTAGAAACATTAAAGTGTTCTTTAAACTTGGCACCAGAAATGTACATCACAAAAGAAACATAATGACACCTGCCATGCTGCTGCCATGACAACAATTATGCCGCTGCTTCGGTTTTAATTAAGACTAAAATTCCCAGATTTTATCTTAAACAGGATCACCCACTCCCACCAATCTAATTGGGAGAGTTAAGACAATATGGGAACCATGTGTGTTCCAAGCAAGACCCTCTGTCTCACTTTAAAAGGTTGCAAATGGGGATATTTGGTTTTTCACAGAAAGAGACTGGAGCCAAGAGTGTTGCCATGGCAACAGCATAGTAGGTGCCATTTTGTTTCTTTTGTAATGTACATTGCTGTTGCCAAGTTTGAAGAACACTGCTTTAATATTTCTAGAGTTATTCTCGATTGAGTGTTGTGCTGTTTCAGAGGNTGGAAGAACACTGCTTTAATATTTCTAAAGTTATTCTCGATTGAGTGTTGTGCTGTTCTAGAGGAACCACTTATGACGTCATCACTTTCCTTATTTGCATAATACAAAAACGTAAATATCTCTAAAACGAAAAAAGATATTCCAAAAATGAAAATGCCACTCTTCTTTTCTTTGAAAAGCCTTTCAAATAAGCAGGATTTTTTTTACTTCATAGGCACTTTAAGAGCGTCTTTAATGGGTTGCCTACAGTCCATTAAGTCCAAGACATATCATTTGTGCTGTGGGATAACATTGCAAACTCTTCTCCTTTTCTAACTCTTAGGTGAAGTAAAGTTTTATTGTGTTGTTGTTGTTGTTGTTGTTGCATAAAGCTTAGGCATTTATTTACAGCCCAACAGAAAATGATTAGCACTTCACACTAAATCTCATGAAATCTGAGTGAGTACTTTTAATAGTAAACCTTTAATATGTAGAGTTCCATTCTGATTTGATTTGTTATCCAATGGGCAGCTATGATGAAAACATTCTTGTCTGGGACACCAGAAATATGAGACACCCATTATGTTCATCCCACCCTGGAGGAGGGGTGTGGCGAATCAAGTGGCATCCACTACATGGCAACACAATGTTGACAGCTTGTATGTACGAGGGCTTCCACATCCTTAAATTCAGCAACAGCAATGGTATGTTCTGTGATGTTTCTGGTGCAAAGGCTGAGGACAAGTTTAAAAATCTGTTTTTATATAAAGGGTGAATTTAAGGTTTATAACAGCTAATGATATTGCTCTCTTTTTACTATCAGGAGAGCAGTGCTTAGAGAAAGTGGTGTCTTACGAGGAGCAAGCATCATTGGCTTATGGTGCTGACTGGTGCAGGGAAGATATCCAATGTTTAAAGGAGTTACACAGACAGACAATTTCACAGTCAGAAGGAAATGAGGAACTTAAAGATTTTGATTTAGATAAAAACTATGAAACTTACACAGATCTTATAGCAACTTGTTCATTCTATGATCATGCCTTAAATTTATGGGCAGTGAAACAGTAATATACAAAGAGAAGGCAGACTTGAGACAGCTGTGGAGATTGAAACCTAGTTATGGGATGAAGTGTGGAACAATGAAAAGTGTGTGGAAGATGAAGGGATGTAAAGGCTGGGTCATTGACGTCAGGACCATATAGTCCAGGATCTTCTACTTATTGTTGTTCTCCCCACTCTACTTGTCTAATAATTGGAACCAACTGTTTGCCGGGAAGGCTGGAATTCAGGAGAAGAAATACAACATATCCAAAAAGGTTTTAAGTTACTATTGTAAAAATGTACAGAACGTACTTGATGAAATTATTTTTTGCTTCAATTCCATGTAAACAACTTCAGCTTTCATCCATTGGATTTCAAATGAAGAGAACAACACACCAAATAAGATAATAACACAATGTAGATTTTGGCAATTGGCATATGGATTGAAGCATGATATTCTGACATTTTGTATATAGTTGGTCAGGAAAAGTTTATTTTTATCAGGGAAAAGTCAGGGAATTTTGAAAAGTGATGCCTGTGACAGTTATGCCTGTGGTAACCATGAGTCAAATGCCTTTATCTTAGTTTGGAGAAACACTGAACTAGAACAAGCTGATGACACAACTAATGATTGCACAAGTAAACAAATAGTTTGCAATCATTTTTGAAAATTGAAGTGATTTTCCTTTCTTTTGCAAGCAGTTTTTTTAGAGAGCTTTCCTTGTTCTCCCAAACTTCCACTCAATCATGTTTCTATAAGAAATAATTACAGAAAATGTTTCCAACTTCTTAAATGGTAACAACTATGAACAAATAACAAAAAAATCACTGCAAAGTTAAATGGAAAAACATTACTACATTTTATTTCAAATTTATTTGTCAGAATTAAGATTTACAGAATTGATCAATTTTGAATAATATAAATAACCTGTAGCATCATAATGGCCAAGTTATTCTACAACACTTGAAAATTTAATCTAACTTATAGACAACAAGTAACCTCAAAATAAGTGGAACACTTCAGCCATTTTAACTGAAACATTTCAATGCCCCTCTTATCTTCAAATTACTTTAGTTACGTTAATCCTTCTTGAATAACTACTACATTAACATACCTACAACTGTACCGTAGAAACTGTAACAAAGCAGGCATTTTACAAACCCTGATTTTTGACTAACAGGAAAAAGCCTTTTCTAACACTTCCAGTCAAAAAGTTTTGATTTCTCAAATTACATGCTGTGATTTACCTGGGTATTCCTATAGAAATAAAACTTATTGATGGAAAAGACTCATTATAACTAAACACTAATATTATTCCTCGCCAAAAATTCCCATAATTAAATAATTATTTAAATTTTATCATTGCTACTATTTTATGTATATTCTGAACCTCAACAATTTTTAGTGTCAAGAAAATTCTTAAAAAGTATTTATTACATAAATAAAATGGTGGTATCACATTACAATAGAGTCCTGCATTTGAGTTGGTGATGTAATTAATTTTTTACAATTTATTATAAAAAACCTAGCATATCCATAAATTGAAACTTCCAAAATGTAGGCCACTGAAAATTTGGAAAAATTGTTTATGGTACTCCTCCATATTTGAAAATTTGCTTTATTTATACAACCTTTTACATTTAAAGAAGCCAAATATAATTATTGCATGGTTAGTTTCCATAGTGTTGTCATCAAATTGTTCCCAACCACTCCTTAGTTTGTAAAGCTTTGTTTTACATGTTTTCGTTCTTATAAATATTAATCTTTTGTTTAACAAGTTGTTTTGGAATTTTAACATTTGCACAGTCACACACGCATGTTTCTTAACTATTAGAATTAAGACTACATGCTACCTATAGTTTCACAGCTCAGAGTATTTGTAAGCTAAAACACAGGCCCATTTGATTCTAATGTACATGAAACACAGTGCAAAGTGAGTTGACGACTCTTACAGGAAATTCCTCTGAAATTTTTGTGGTCAATGAAACAAAGCAGCAATAGATGGGGGTGAAATTTCTCATTAGAATTTCATTTGTATGTTCCAACTAATCAGATCTTTGTAAAAAATATGTGAAGACAAAAGCTTCCAAGTAAAAGTAGTTGAGCTATTACAAAATTTATGACATCAGCTTCTAAACCATCTCAAAATACTTCTTTAATTTTGGTTTGTTGCTTCTTTTGCTCCGCAAAACTGATTACCAAGAACAGCACTGCTTGAAAACTAACTTAGATGTTGTTGTTGTTGTTGTGAAAATCCATACTCGAAACATTTATTACAACATAGTCATCTTCCAAGCTATATGCTTCTGTGGCCATGTATAATGTGAAACAAAAATAATGATAAGAATGTGAACTGGCTAAAGGCTTACCAGTTGGGTATTAACAATAACATGGTTACAAAATCAAACCTGTACATACAGGCTAAAATACAACTAGTGAGAACAGTACAAGAGCATGAATCCAGAATTCTGGATAACATTGTTAAGTCAAGCACCTTGAGCAATCTCAGGGGAACAAGCCCAACCAAGCTGCCTGTTGTTCATACAGTTGATAATCTCAATCCTCATACAGGATTTTTTTACTATTTTCCTTAAAGAATTGTCATTAAATGGCAACTCAAAAAGGGTAATTCCATGTAGAAATTTTCTACTTGGTGAATTGTTAATTGAGGGGCTCACCTCTTTCTTTAGTGTGTGTGCGAATTACTAATAATTATTATTAATAAAAACATTCAGGTCCCAAAATATTAAAAAATATATCATTCAAGAGAATAGCAGAAAGTACAGAAACAAGACATGGGAAATTTTAAGATTACAGTTCTTAAAGTACTGGAAGAACTGGAGGTACAAGGAAACAAATGACTGCAAATTTCAAATTCTTATATGTACATGTTCAAAGTTAAGTCTAGTATTTCTAGCTGCTCTATTATTTCTCTACCTGCTATGAAAAAACACTGACAAAATTAGCACCAGGAAGCAGACTCCCTATTCAACAGTATGTCAAAATAATTTCAACAACAAACAATAGGATGATTGACAAATCATTTTTGCCTGCCGGCAGACAAAACAAAATACAGGGTATGGTGTTTCCATCATTTGAACAAGCCAAATAAATTTTGTAGCAGATAAAAAAGTGAGAATAGCTCATGTCCCAACCTGCGATCAGGCATTCTTTTTTTCAAAAGAACGCCTGATCCCAGGTTACTCCAGTCATTTTCAGGAATGAAGCATCTCGACTCTCTTGAGCTTTAAAATAATTATAAATATTTTGTCAGGAATTCAATGCTCTGTCAGAACTCAAAACAAGGCAAATCATGCACATAACACAGTCTTCACAAAAGTGAATGATCACATGAAGCTTTAGGTACCTACTTCATATGCAACTAAACAAAGACTGAAGATGTTTGTTTTTACAAATGATTTACATTCAATGCAATCAAACTGTTGGTTTCTGCCAAACCAAATGGAAAAGGAAAACAGTGAAGCAATGTGAGTTGCTGCTTTGCTGAGTTTTGGAAGAACTTGAATCTTTACACTGCAACCAGGTCACACCTGGTGCAATATTCAAATTTCTTGTTCATCATTCTAGGTATTATCCTTGCATGTGAACCATAAACTGTAATAATATTATCCTTATATCTAATCGTTCCTTTCTGGTACACTTCCGCAGCACATCAGGCAGATTTGTTTGAGTCGTGGTTTGTATTTTGGTGAGATGTAATCAAACAAAAATAACCAAACGAGCCTGATACATGTATGGCACCAAAGTGTACAAAAAAGATACGATCAGTTATTTGTGTACCCAAATTTCGCAAACTAACCATGATATCATAGCCATATTAGGTCAGTGACCTGTTATTGCAGGATATCATGACAATATGCACGGCTTCTGATAAGCTAATGGTGAATTTGGGTACAGTAAATTGCAAAAGTACTTGAGACAGCAGATTTTAATTGTGTGACAATTTCAGGTGGAGTTGCATGAATGCTACTTTCTACTGTTTACACCAACACTGACTTGGAGATGGGAGGATTATGCACAAATCCTTGGAAAATGGCAATTTTAAGAATGATACTCTTGGTAGCTTCACCAGGAGGAACCACAGGGCCTTTCATCATAGGTCTTGTTGTAATCCCTTGGTGCTTTCTTGCCTGACATGTGATTTGGGTGTACTTGGTGATTGAGCCCCTCTTAACTGTCGTTGCTATCTGGATGGGTGGGAAGAACTGCTTGCTCCAGAAGAGTGACTTGCAGAGGTTGATACACTAAGCTGAGAGAAACCACTGTGGCATGACTCCAGACTTGATAATGATCCCCTGAAAAAGTATTCATAGGAAAATTAAGTATCAAATTATTCTACTGTACTGAAATACTTAACAAGTTTCTCACATATCTTGTTAATAGAAGTAAAATTATACACTTTAAAAGAAACTGGAAGCAACTTTTGAATGATGTTTGGGAATGACTCATGCCATCTTCAGTTTATTGAAACTGAACTGGATGATCCTATATGTCTCGTTGAATTACAATTAGTGAAAATAGTTATGGAAGTTTCCTGTAATTTGTCAAACCTTGAAAAATGATTCTAAAATACAAACATTCATGTATAGGGTTTATAGAAGCCTTTCATATTACCTAAAATCCCCTGAGGGAAGCACTTCATGATAATACATGACCTTAGCTCTGGTGTGCCGGCCATGAGCTTGACCTGTTGGAGCTCCTGATTTGTATTTCCACTGTAGAACATACACACCAGGAATGGAACAAACGTGGGTCCCCTAACAGACAGAAATAATCACAGTCAAGTTAAAAAATAACGTAGTTGAATTAAGATCAGAGACACCTTGAAAATTAGTATGCAGGCTCAGAAAAGTTGCCAAAACCTGGATTTGAATGTTTTTAATTTTTATTCAATTTTGCTGTAAGAGTTTGTTTTCTTGTTGAATGACATTGATTGGTTTCAACAAATACCCCTCTACCATCTTTGGAGATTTGAGAATGAAGAAGAACACAGTTCTAGACAGGTCCATGTGAAACTAATGTAAGATAGGATCCATAGAGAAAAGAAATCTGGAGGTTTACTCAACACACCTAGGTGATTTCATGTGAAATATAAACCAAAGAAATCAAATTCTGAATTTGTACTTATTTTCCATGAGAACAATTAACTTATTTATCTATTTATTACAAGATGTGTGCGAAGACCAGAGGAAATTGTGATTTCACAGGTACAATTACAATAATTATGATTATACCTGCATAATTTTAAAGTTCCCATGTTATTATGATAATTTAACTATAGGTACATAATTACAGTACTGTATCAAACCAGGAATGTTAAAGTTCACTCCAAAATCTTTACTCTAGGCCAGTTGCTCTTCTCTTTTTTTCCATTTAAACTATATTTATTTCATATCATGCCATAGAAATTACAGCCAATCAGAATACAGAAAAAGCCATTGTATATTCAACAATATTCCATCCAACCTTCTTATCGTGCACCACACGTATGTCACATTAATTGTGTAATTGTGTATTTTAATAATGTATTTTTTATGGCATGGTATTCCATGGAATATCCCACTTGTCATTTGTATTATATACCTGTATGGATTCGCCATCAAAGCAGTGCCTTGGCTTTTCAACCACCACAGCATCCACACCTGCAATGACTCCAGACTGATTTAGCGATACATCACTTCCAAAACTTGACAAACTAGTGCTGCTGACTGCTTCACGAGGACGCTTGTGTCGGAAAACTGTGTATTGAACATCTCCTTTCATGACATCAAAATCCCATGTAATGACAGACTGTGATTCCTTGATTGTCACCAAGACCTGTTAAAGGTTAATTTAATGAATGAGAACTTGAATCTGTGCACGTCAAGAGCCCCTTATGCCTATAGCTGACACTTCCATGGTATAAAGTGCCTCATTAATATTAATGTAGACTTTCTCCTGGGTTGCATCTGAATCCATCATGATTAAACACACTTGTACAATTTAAATTTAAATTTTTGTATATAATTTATACTTTTTAGATTTTGTAATTGTAAATTCTATGCCTGTAATTCTTTATTGACTTTTTTTGATGCTTTTTATACTGGTCACCGATTAATATCAGTCAATCTATATCTTGATCGACTGACCGGTCTTTACCAGGATAAATAAAGTTATTATTATTATAAACCTGAGAATGTTTGTCAGGTTAACCAAATAATTTATGGGTACCCAATCAGACATTCTAGCAAATGAAGTGTAAGTGACCTGAGGCAATAGAAGTATTATTAAATCCATCATACATGAATAATGTTGCTCTCTGCATCTTACCTCAAGGGGTGATCCTTTACTAACATGGGCTGTTTGGTAGATTTCACTGCTCCAGGATTCTTCCCCTTCACTAAATTCCAGTGATCGATACAGAGATTTGGGCACAAGTCCTCCATCCTTGATTTGGCACTGCACAACAAAATGAATTTAATTTTTCCATTCTTAATCGCTCTTAATAATTCTTAAAAATTAATGATTATTAATTCTTTCCACTTGTTTCTTATGACTAGACTCCTTACCTCATATGGACCACCAAGGAAGTCTGGAATGTATTCTGCATCAATGTAATCAGTCAGACCACCAGGATCCTTTAACACAGAGAAGGAAAAAACCAACATGAACACTATACAATAATAAAAAAATCTACTATCTATCTGAACATAGGCTAAGTCTGCATACAAACCAAGTAGCCCACCAAGCCAGAGCTTATTCCAGTTTCTGTAGCATGAAGCGACTAGGAATGTGTCTACTTCCCCCTGGATGGGATGCTGGTCCATCACAGGGTTACCCCAAGCATTAAATTCTCCAGTACCCATTTATACACCTGGGTGGAGAGGGGCACTGTGAGAGTAAAGTGTCCTGCCCACGAATACAACACAATGTCCCCGGCCAGGCCTAGTACCTGGACCACTTGATCCGGAGTCAAGCACACTAACCACGAAGCCACTGCCCCTCCACATTGTAGTCTGCTCCACATAGCAGACTACAAAATAATAATGTGTGAAATGGGTGGAGATATTCCATACTATTTGTACTCTAAAGACTGATTTACATGTAGCACGTTCTCTGTCTTTCTCTTAATTGTTTTGGCCATACAACAATGACAAACACAGTTGACAGTCAGGATTTCAGGAATGAAAAATGACAAACAATAAATATATATCTCATTAGACATTGTGCTGTGAAGTATCACTGCACATTTTTACTGTACATTTTTTGGTCTGACTGACTCACTCTGGACTCACATTAATATTGCTAGTTTTGGAAATATAAAACCAAGGTAAACTTAATTTGTACCTGATAATCATTCCCACCATAAATGAGAAACTTGTTCCTTGTGTTTTCGTCAATGAAAGGACTAACCAGTGTCCATAGAACACCAAAGATCCTGGGTGCACGTACAATCAGTAGCCGACCCATTGTTTCAGGGTAGTTACATTCAACAACTTCAATCACCTTTAACAAGGCTTTGATGCCTGCAAAATAAATGTTATTTTACAAAGTTACAAAGTACATGTAGCAATATTCACCCTCTCTGTCTTTGGTTTCAGAGAAATGACTTGCATTTACTGATTTTTAGAAGGCCCTGAATATCGATCTTTTACTTTATTTCCTAATTCTGAAATCTAACATAAAAGTAAGTAACTAGTGATGCTAGACAGGTTTACATTGACGCTTACAACAGACAGCAAACAGTCTGTTTTCTGCCTTTTGTACACTTAAGTGAGAATATTTACATTGTGTTTATATATTTTTCCCCTCTTTTTGTGTTGGATTTTTGGGAAAGAACACAAAACCAGAGGCATTTGGTGCTGTTTGCAGGTTGCTATAAATGTCATTCTTAACCCCTCTTATACTACTAACTGGCCATCATTTTCACATTTTGTCATGTTTCCCTAGCAATTTGCTGGTACCCATTTATACAGTTGATAACCAGTTAACCACGCCCTTTCATAATTATACTGTACACTGAAAAACTCCTACTTTTATTAAAGCCCTTTTCTCCTTTATCGTAATTGATATGTAGTTCAGAACTACTCACCAGGTCTCCACAGATGTCTCATGCTCAAGCCCTCCAGATCACAAAGACACGTCCATGAGCTGAAAACACAAATTAATGATGTGAAGTATATATGAAATAATTTAATTCATATTTGCACTGCGGTTGTAGATGAAAGTGAAGAATGATCATCTTCACTTTCATCTACAACCGCAATGCAAATATGAATTAAATTATTTCATATATACTTCACATTATTTCACTCCTCACGGGAAGATATGAACTCAATTAATTGACCTCGCTCCCAATGTGTGGCTTCATAACTCAGTTGGTAGAGCATCGCACCAGTATTCGCGGAGGTCACGGGTTTGAATCCCGTTGACGCACTGATTTTTTCAGGCTTCTTCTTTCCAATTGCTTAAATTGGAAAAATTTACTGTGATGATCATTCTTCACTTACACAAATTAATGTTAGTGTAACGTACAATATATATTTATTTACAGACATACAATAGGTTGCAGTCCTTTTTGATTTATCCAAAACATGATGTTGAAAACAATGTGACAAGTGAAAAATCCACTATTTCAGTTTCAAGGAATAGTGCCATTGAATTAAGTTAGGTCTTCAGACAATGATATTATTTCCCAAAAAAGACTATCTTAAATCACCAGGGAAAAAAGTAATATGAGTGGCACAGTAAGTGGTTGAAACAGACTTACAGTATCAGAGTAACAATTAATAAATAAGTCATTCATTATCAACTGGAGTGACATATTACCTGATTGGATGTCCTGTCTTTTTGGTCAGTTCCTCTGTCATTTTAAGTCCTTCTTCATTGATTGACACAACCTTTAGAGAGGGATTTACCAAGATTTAAACTCTACTTAAATTATTGAATAAAAATCACCGTCAAAGCTCTCTTCAAAATTTTTATTGACAATTTATTATGAACATTACTACATGTTTAGGGTTCGTTCTTAATATCTTCCTTTGTTAACCTCTACAATTAAACTGGCTTCAACTTTAAAAAACTTTTTTTTTGTTTTGTTTTTTTCAGGGCAGTAATTTGTAAACTTACTACACTCCTCGATTTTGAGTGAACAGAGAATCAAGGATGCTCTTGAAACAAAATAATCACTCTTACTGTATTTAATTCAAATATAGGTGTTGCCCTTGTTAAGCTCCACCCTCAAATTTTAAAACATACTGCCCTTGAAAAAGCACTGCTGCCATACTTTGGCAAAACATGGTACATCATATCCAGAAAACCACTTACAGCAAAGTAAGTTTGACTTTGAGAATCCTTTACACTGTAATGTGAGCATCAGAATATTACAAAAATTTAGCAGCATCCTTATAACGAGTTTTCCACTGCAAGAAAACCCTTCGCTCATAGCTTAGACTGCAAGTCCTGAGGTAAGGAAACTGCACTGTCCATTGACAAAATCTATTAAGGCAGTGAATGGCCACCCTAAGTTTGCACTCTTGAAGACTACTTACATGCTTTAAAAAGCCATCCTCCCCCACAGCCTTCAGCAGCCCTTTAACATCCATGGATCCCAGCCTGAGTATATACAATGGTCGGCCCTCTGTGGTACAACAGCAAGAGCAATCAGCATGGAAGGTAAACTCTTTGGTCATGTACAGGACTGCATCTCGCACGTATTGTACCTCATTGTGAAGGCAATTTTAGCTCTAATCTAAATTTGCTTATGTGGCATTGAGACAAATGTGACAGGAGACTTTTTTTTTCGATGCTATTTTAATACATTGAGAAACTATGGCTATGTGGGGATACATCATTCTGATTACCATTGGCACATGCTCTTGAAACTAACAATAATTTATTTCAAAGTGATGTCAGTTCCTCAGTATCCCATTCAGTGTGCTAAAAATAAGATGTTATCATGGCCATAATAATGTTTTGCTGCATTTCTAATACCTTAAAATAGATTGCCAAAAGTTGTGAAAATGAAAGGGTGTTCCAGCTGCTGAATCAAAAAATTTCACATTGACCAACAAACATACCTTTATCTGTGTTATGCCAGCCACCACAGTAGTAGTTTAAAAGAGGTCCGGGAGGGTGCCAAATTTCTCTTATATTATCTATATTGTGATGTCGTCGCCATGCTAGAGACTCACACAGCATTTCATACACCTGAAACACAATAGAAACAACGTTTCAAAAATAGAGCCCTTATGGAATTTAACCAGCTACAGTGTATAATGAAAATTTCACTTTTTAAAATATGAATTTACAAATTATATCTTGATACATTCAGTTTTTCTCTCAGTGAGAGAAGTATTCTCTACACATTAATTTTTTAGGCTGCCGTTTACTTGACCATGGAGGTGTCCAACCAGAAAGCTCTTGCTACTTTGGCCACCGTTCACTAAAAAAGTTTTATTTACTTACAGCTTCATATGTCTTAATTTTTTTTTTACTATTTCATTAATTATCTTTATGTATCTAAATTCCCCATACAGTGTGAAAAAATAAAGAATTGAAAATTGAATTGAATTGAACATGTATGTGAAGGTGTAAAGACAATAAAAATTCAAGTCCAACTAAAACCATGTAAGTTGACCCTTTTGTTTCATTATCAATTCATAAAATGACATGAACACTCAGTTATTTTACTGTAAGTTGTTCTTTTACAAAAATATGTCAAGTAAGAAAATGGGATTGTGCACTTTGCTCTTTGTACTAGCATAATGGCACTGCTTATCTGATAACATTACGTCTAAATTTATCAAGTCTGTTGTTGCTAATCCTTCACAGTCTTGCCCATCCTCAAGCTCAACCGTGTTGATATGATTTTTTCCAAATTTTCATGGCTTCCAAGCCAAACTTTAATAGAAGAACCTGTAATATTTACTGTTATAACACAACATCACAATACCTTGTCTAAATTGAAGTCTCGTGCTCTGAGAAATCTTAAAAGATGAGCGTCATTTGGCATCTATAAAAAAAAGCTATCATTTAGTAAAAGATTTAATATAATAATTGCTTAATATGTAAACTTACTATAATTGTTAATTAAAATATGCACAAGGCTATCCTGAATATAAAACAAGAATTTTTACCTTTCCTTGATGAGTAGAACTTAGTTTCTTGCGCAGCTGTAGGTGAATAATGAACAGAACAACCTGTTTACTGTTGTCAATCGAAAAAAGATCCATTTAATACAGCACATGCTGGGAACTGTGTTGCCAAAATGTCATGATTGTTAAATTGATGAAGACAGATTTTGTGTAGTGACTTGAGGTAATATATCAAACACAAAAGACCCTACTTGACTGCATTTCCAAACACTGAGAAGGGAGTTAAAAATATGATGTATAAAAAAGTATTTTTGACGAACTTCAAGGTGTTTGGAAATGTGGTCAAACACTGTCTTGAAAGTTTGATATATTTTCTCAATCAAAACTGAAACTTATGACAAAAGGGAGAGTCGTAAAAATATATGCTAATTAAGATCAGATACCAAATACCGTCAAGGTCCTGATTTCTTTGTTTAAACTTGATAAATTAAAAACTGAAGCATGGCTTTGGCTGAACAAGAAGAATATCTCAAGTTGATAGATTATTCTGGAATTTCAATTGTGAATGAAGCTTGTTTAACATTCACCACTAACCTTAATGAGTTGATTCTCTTCTTTTGGGCTCAGTTTCCCAAGGAACCTCTGGATGTAGTCATCATCAAGCTTGTAATCTGAACAAGTAATCAAAAGCATTTTGCAATAACACACAATGCCATTTCAGGGCAGATTGTGCATGTTAGTCCGGATTGAGGCCTGACATGCACAAGTATCAGCAACTCCACATTGAAAGTGACAGCTGCCAAGTATCTCCTTCATGATGCCATTTTGCAACTCTTAGAAATGTCTGTACTGTTATTTTTATTATTTTAGCCCACTTTATGAACATCACTGAACTTGAATTTACTTTTTTAAAACTCAAGAAAACAACTTCTTGGAGAAGGAAACATATTTTACCTTTGCATTTCATTAACTGCCTGTTACAACATTTTTGTCAGGTTGCTGCACAAGTTTTCCTTTAACATCATTGAAGTCGAGTGTGACTTTTTTAACACAGAAATTTTTTTCGTGGGAGGCAAAGTGTAATTTTTCTCTGCGTTTCATATAACGTTTTCAATTACAGTCCCAACCTCAGTTAAGGTGACCGCTGTTTAGATGCTTTTATAATGAATAAAAGAACTAACATCTCTTAGATTCAGATGCTTCATCAATATTCATACAATAAACAGAACATTACATCGCAGCTTGGTGACGTGAACTTTACCTTCTCGTGTTGATGGCATCTCTCACTGATTTGCTGCCCTCACCCATGAGAGATACCATCAACAGTCAAAGATAACATGTGTATCCCTAAGCTGCCTTGTAATATTCTCTGTGTACTTGAAACTAAGACTTAAAAGCTACTATTTTACATAAAAAGAAACATTTTGAAAACATATTGTCATGTCATCTCTAAAATGGTAATTATCAGCCTTTGCTAATGATGCAGCAAAAATTAGTGTTTAGTCGACGTTAGTAATAGTTACTAGTGTTAATGTTTCAGATGCATGATTCCTGAATGATACCTTGAGATATAGGATTCTCTGACTTCATTTGTTTACATGTAACAAGTACTAAAATGTTGTTTCAGAAGGAGGATGTGACCAAGTGTAAAGGGAAGCCTTATGTCCTGCATGGGGTCTGTCCTGGTCATGCCCAGTCAAAACTGTTTACTTAAGAATTTATCATCAGCCAAATTAAGGTCATTTCTATCAAAAATTTTAATTCAATTATGGCAGTATGTCCACAACAATGACTGCAGGTGCTACTTATGGTAATTTAGCAAAAGATGTCTGAATTGTGCCTTTGACATTTTGGTTTTCTTATTCCCTTTCTTCCTATATTAAGAATAGAAGTTTGGTCAATAAAAATATCATAATTATACTCTTTTTTGGCTTGTTGCTCATGTTTCATTAACTGCATTTTATACTTGGAATGACCTTTGAAATGTTATTACTCCTTCTGTCTTTCAGATTTTTTTAACCGAAATAACTTGTACATCAGAAACAGAACTCATCATCCAAACTGGCTGCAAACTGAAAGTAATTAATTCCCTAACTTTTCTCAATCTCACGCAAATACTAGAATTTGCTAATAAGGTACTACAAAATTTCAAAGCTAGCACATGGATTCAAAATCAACATGTCATCAACATGTCATCCTAAGCTCATCTAGGGATCATCTGCTTCTAATAACAAGGGCTTTGGCAACGAGTACAAAGTACAAAATACAAAGTGGCATGCCTAATCGACCTCATATGTTTTACTGACGTAGTTTTGAAGATTTTTACATTTTTTACTTTTTAAGTTTTACAGGACCCCTTTGACAATACTATCATAATAAGTATTGATGGCTTTTATTATTATCAGAATTATTACTATTACTATTGGACTGAGTGGAATCTAATTCAGGGAGTAATCACACAAGCATGATAACGGCCTGAATTGTATGACACAGCGTCCAATTACTAATTAAATTGAATCTATAACAAAAAAGTCTTCAGAGAACTTCTGTTGAGAGAAAAAGTCAGTAATGCTTTCCATAAGTGTTAAAAACCGTAGGGAACATTAAGAAGGAAACCATTAAAGCATGTGTAATTGGTGTGTGAATCACGCAGATATTACAGGTATTCAATTACAACTTTTTGTAATTGGATACCTATAATTGGACACCCATGTGATCGCATGCGGATTACATTACAACTAGGCCCCCAGAGAACCAATCATGATCAAGAATTTTGCTATATATGTGATTAATATTATTATTAATAATTTATTATCAAGCTACTACTAAAATGGTGTTGACTTAAGCTAAAAGGGGTCTATCCCTAGATTATATGTGTTTCACTTAAAAACTCGGCCTTGCGTATCATTTGCATTTACATGTGCTCACTCCTCACCTGGTCTAGAGGCAAGTGGTAATGTATCGGCAGCTTCTATTGCAGAACTAGCAATAGGAAGAGCGTCAGTGCCATCCTCCTCAATTTGGTCTGCACTGCTCACTGCTTCTGCACTCTTTGTCCTGGACCGTCCATGGGAATTCTCAAATGGAGCTAGGTATGTTACCCCTTCACTTATCAACTCATCAATGTAGTATTGGATCACTTCTTTACCCTGTCAAATTAGAGATATACAAAATGATCAAGGTCAGGGTGTTTTCTGCTTTACCCTTGCACAGCCTTGCTACAGTTCTACATAAAAAAATATTGATAAAAACTCTTCACTGCTTTTAATGCTAATTTCCAAGTCAGAACATTTTTGTTTGGATTGATTGATTTTGACTTCTTGTAATCTTTCAGTGTTAAGAATTGTAGTTGTGGAGAAGTGGCTTGCAAGCCTTAGTGACAATATACAAGCATATATATACCATATGCTCCAAGTATTCTACCAAGTTATAGAAGTCCTTGATGCTTCCATCAGTTATCACTTAATATCAAGTTATCCTCCTGTTTCTTATGACTGTAGTGTGATTAGAAGTATGATGGATTTAAGACCCAGGTGAAGGGTGATTGTGGAGAACCTAAGCTCACCTTTTTGATATTCTGAAGATACAACTTAATTGCTAGCTTCTCTATAGCTGCCTCAAAACCAAAGAATGACTTGATGTCCAAAGTTGCATCCTGCTCAAAACAAGTCCAGTCAGGATTATCTGGGTGAACCTAGAGAAGCAGAGTAGTGTTGGGATTAATGGAACTGACATTCCAGAGTTATTTAGAGAATATGATCATGAAAGGTACAGTGACCAAATGTTTAGCACACTGGATTCAGGATTGAGAAGCTAGTTTAAAGGAAGACCTTCAACTAGTGTTCTTTGCATGCTTCTGTTGCTGTTATCATCCAGGCAATCATTGCTTCAGCACACATCTCACTTACACAATAATGAATATATCGAAGAAAATGACATTGAAGTCAAGTGCTCAGGACAGCTTATAAACAGGGAAAGCCAGATTGAATAAAGCAGCAAGATTTCTTTATTAAATAAATGAGGGTTTTTGGAGAATGTTCTGTTAACTGCTACATTGTTGTGAGAGTTCAAACACATTGCATACAACTTGGTCACAGTGGGACACAGTAGTATTACATTGGTTCACTGTTTGCTGCTTTTTATTCTTATCTCCTTTTTTATTAGATCTGGCTGCTAGTTAATTTGGTTTGGAGATGATTTATGATGATGAAAACTGCCATTTAACAGTTGCTGAATATGCTCTCTTCTGGCATGGCTATGGCTGAAACAGATCAGTAACTGTTGTTTAAATCTGGCCTTTAGTCTTCCAAGTCTGTTTCATGACTGTAGTTTTTTTACAGGGTTTTTATACTGTTCTTTTGCAAACTTATCTCAATGTTTTGACTGGCTTGATTCAATATGCACAAATTCAACGATGATTAACAGCAGACTATCATTTCTTCATCATCAAATCTATGTCATTTTATACGTCATGGAAATTTGTTATATATGGATTTCTGACTGCTGGATATCTACAAAGTAGTTGTGGATATTATTCTTTGAGAGTTGACCCTGTCAGTTAGAGCACAAATATTTTCCAAGTATCTAAAACATTGAAATTTTAATGTATTCCTAAGCTCAAAGAATGGTTCAAATACAAAGCCAAAATAATACTTGAAATTGCTTGACATGTCTAAACAAAGATCTACTATTCTAAGAAGAAAATAAACGAGATCAATATCTCATGGAAATTCTATAAGAATTTCATACAACCGGATAAGCTAGGTTTTTGAAAACAAATCCCAGCCGCTGGGTATCCACATCAGAATATCCCACCAAAACACACTCACTGACTGATTGTGGCTCACTGGCTCAGAAAAACCTAATCAATAATCTTGAATAGTGATTTGTTATTCTCGCACAATGATTTCGCATTCTCAACAGTTGATGTTGATTTCTCGATAGCTTGCTACATCAGTAGTTTTCTTGATTAATGGTTTTCATTCTCCATGGGATAATTTACAACCTAACTGCCATGACAGTTTTTAATTCTCATACTGTGATTTCATTTCTAATGCAGTGATTTCCCAATCTTGCATAGTGATTTCCCAATCATGCATAGTGATTTCCCAATCTCACATAGTGATTTCCCAATCTCACATAGTGATTTCCCAATTGCACATATCGATCACTGAAACTTGATACGTGATTTTGAACTAAACCCACTTTTGTCATGTTTGGCTTGCCATATGTTTCTCCTCAACATGCTTGCCATTACATCGTTTAAAATTGTGTAGTTCTTAAACTTATTAAAAATACATCAAGTATAAACAAAGGAAAACAGGACCATGCATATGACTGTATTTGGATATCTGATCTTAATTAGCTTGAGTTTTGATTAGGAAGGTATATCAAGCACTCAAGACAGTGTTTGACCACATTTCCAGACATCTAGAAGTCGATAAAAAATACCCCACTACACATCATATTTTCAATTCTCTTCTTGGTGCTAGGAAACGTGGTCAAACACGGTCTTTCTTAATGTTCAATATGTATAACTGGTTTAATAATTATTCATACTGCTTTGGGACAGCCCCGATAAAATGTTTCCTTTCCCATCACCCTCAACCTGATAAAAATAAGTCTGCCTGTTGGTTCAAATTAAAATTAAAGCAGCCAGAAGAAAACAATCTTCATTGACAAATTAGCCTGGATAATCTCTTACCCATGACTGCCATTTTGCACTGGAGCCATGATCACTTCAAAAGGTGTTTGAAGATGTTGTTAACAGGGTTGATTTAGTCATAAAGACAACTGAAGATATAACTGAAGTGTATTTTTAAAGCTTGGGATCACCCAAAAAATGGCAGCAGGCAATGAATTGGTTGGGCAATGGAAAAATGAAATGTTTCAGGGGCATGGCCTAATAACTGTAAAATGGGGCTTGGAACTGGTGTTACATTTCGACCAGGTAGTTTCAGTTTCCCTTAGGATATAATGTTTCGATTCACACAATTCATCTCCCACCATGAACAGTTATCGCAATGAAACATGTTTCATTTGTGTTCAGGCTAACCATGCTCCAGCCTGTAGTGTGAACACAGTAAAAGTTTTCATTTCTGATGTTACAACTGTCTAAAATGCAAGCTTTTGCCATCACTGCGACTTGCAGTACTGCAACTGTACTCTGAATAACATGCTAGTCCAACACAGGTTGTCAGTGTAAAGTAGGGGTACTTATAGCAAATAGAATTTTCCTTGTTTTTATTTCACGTGTTTGCATTACCTCTGGGGACCATGTAATCTACTCATTAGTACTTTACTTATCATCATTATGCATAGTTTGGACTTCATTTTTCGTCAGTGCTTGTTTAGCGGCTGGAACTTCAGTTTTCTCCGGTTTCTATCATGTTTTTGCTAGCATTTAACTTGTTGTGAGCGTCTGAATTATTATTCTGAAGAGTTTAATCCTGTTGAACTCCCCACAGTTTGTAAGTTCATTTTATTCCACTATCAGTTTTTGTTTTTTTTTTGTGTTATATTATTGTACTCAAGTATTTTGTCGCAATTTTCAGTTGAATCACACACTCACTCACTCTTGCGCATTTCTATGCACAATGATCAAACTGTGCATTCAAACTGTGTCGTTTGTTATCTGTAGTGTCTACTTATACCTGTACGGTACTTATTTATCAGCTATGTTGAGTTGAATAAAAGATGCTGCCACATTACAGACATTCAGAGGTGTTTCTAAGCAGTATCTATTAGAAAGTAAAGCTTGTCTAGAACATACAAATCTACATATCATTTCTTTACAAAGTCCTGCTTTTTAGTTTTCTCTGATTTATTATGCTACATGTAGTCAAAAAATATTATGTCTGTTTTTACACAACTTTAATTAAAAGAATCCCATGCTGCAGGAACTAAGAAACCTCTCAGCAAACTCAACTGATCAATTTAAGCACAAAAAAAATTCTATATTTGACTGGAACTTCTGAAGCATGCAGATATTGGAAACATGGTCCTTGATGTTACTAAAAACATGATAAAGGTTCCAGTATTTTTCAGTTTGTAGTTCAATATCATGTTTTACTTTCCTGTCGGATATGATACAAGAACCGACCTGAAATTAATTTCAGGCAGAAAAATAATAATCATAACTGAATAAATAATTCATTGTTTTCCATTCCAAAATAAACAGGTATGACAACAATATATATATGCCCAAGAACCTAGGAAAAGGAATTTAGTGGTCAGTTCTATTGTTATGTAAATATTCTCATTGGGACATCATACAATTGGTAACGTAATAAGCGGCAGTCACCACATTAAATATGCATGTGACATCAATATAGATGCCTTTGTTTATTTTGAGCCCACACTTGTGGTGTTTGCCTTTGCAGTCATTAGCAGAATCTCAAAATACATCATCACTGACGCAAATCAGGCGAACGCAATTTCAAGGAAGCGTGTTGAAAATCACTACACTTGTGAAGTTTGTAGACTGAAAACGGAAGACGCACGCACCACGAGGAAAATGCGACTTTGTCGCAATGGAGTTTTCTCAATTTCCTTTTCGGCTTATTTTTAGGGAAATAATTAATTCACTTACCGAATAATAACAGTGTTCTGTGACACCAACACGAGATGAAAAGCTCTCGTTGTGAGCAGTGATGGTTAGAGTTCTTTCTCGCCTGTCCAGGCAGTTGGTTTGATTGAAATAGACATATTCAACGCCAATGATCTGTGTGAAGAACAAAATCGTTAGAGATCTTCATTACAAGCCAAAACTCGTTAACTCGTTTGGTATCGCCCATCATCTAACCTTAACCGTGTTGGGCTTGAAATACTGTTGAATTCAACGATTAATTTTCGATCGACGTGTCCAATTTGCTGATCACTAATCATCTGCTGAGTAAATTTTAGTCATAATCAACTTCTACAACTAATCTCTATCACTATGGAGTTATTATTAGCTACAAGCATATTTTCCCCCGAGAATCAGTCGTTCCATCCGTCCTCTCGACATCCTAGAAAAGTGACTTACTTTCTTTAACAAATACGGCGCGTCTACATCCAGTTTACACCTCCTCTCGATGTTGTGTATCGCGCCATCTTCGCTCTTGTATTCAGACAAAATTTCGCTGCCAAGAAACACGGGAATCATATGACAAGTAGGGAAGCGCTTTTCGTATGCCTGCCAGGAAAAAACGATGCACTGATTATTCAAACCCACAAAACGATTTCTCGATGGCAAAACGTTATCAGATGGGCCATAAAGATACGGTATTATCACAAATCATCGAAGCCGCCTCCAATGACACAATTCCTGATTACACAATTCTACTTCAAGAGACTCAGCACGTTATACCATGAAACGTATGATTTACGATTACTTGGCACCTTTGAAACCTCTTCGTTCATACTCGAGATGATTACCAATTAGTGTGAAGGAATCACGTCTACATGAAAAGAACCAGCCACTGAAATAAAATGAATAAAGCGAGAAATTACTTACCGCCATAACAATCTCGAAAGGGTACTTGTAAACCCTAACCGGCGACTGGTATTCTTGCACCATCGTAATTCTAGTAAACACTTACACACTAGATCTAAGTTAAAAGCAAAATATGAACAGTTCGTTCAAATTAAAACCGATTTTACAAGACACACCGGTGTCATCATAACACAACGACGTGTGTTCGTGCGTGAGCTGTATGCAGGAAGGCGTAACATTATATACTTTGTAGGGTAAGGTGGGAGCGAGTGGGAGCAGGAAGTGAGGTCATTAAACACAGCTACCAGGCCTTGTTGCACGGTGGTCTCTTTCAAGAACAATTCGTGCTTCATGTATGGGTCAAATATACAATCTAACTTTGTTTGTTCTCCCTCGGATTCCTTTGGAGGGACGTCTTGTTCCGCGCGAGGGATCGACAGAGTCTCGTGACACCGTTATGATAGTTTTTGTCAGTTCTCGTAACTAACTGCTGCTACCTTGTGACAGTTTTCGTAACTAATTTCTGTCAATCTTTCTGCCTTTGATGACTTTTTGATTCAGCTGTGAAGGTATTTTCTCGCGCATGTGATCAAATCACCCGATTGCCTCATAAAACTTCGAAAAAAGGTTACCAAACCGGTGACGAACACCTTGCGTCGGTTACGTAGCACAGATAAGGACATCGAAGATCATGAGGGAATCCAACAAGCTCCAAAGCGTGGCTACGGAAGCATCGCCCTTACTTAGTTATGAAAGCAGCGATAATTCTAATGCGGAAAGGTACACGAGAGTCGGGGAGGCAGCCAAAAAATGTCTTCTCACACACGTTCCAATGGCGTCCTGGCTTCCAAAGTACACTTTTACCAGCCTGCTAAGGGACGTAATCGCAGGGTTGACTGTAGGTTTAATGGTGGTTCCGCAAGGATTGGCCTATGCCACTATTGCGAGACTCCCCGTACAGTACGGGCTCTACTCTGCTTACCTCGGTTGTTTTGTTTATTGTGTGTTCGGTGGAAGTAAAGATGTCACCCTTGGTCCGACAGCGATTATGTCACTGATGGTGGCCCGCTATGCTAATGGTTCTACACTACTTGCTGTAGCTGTGACTTTATTTTGCGGTATCATCCAGCTCACTTTAGGCCTTTTGCGGCTTGGCTTCGTCGTACGATTTATCTCTTTGCCAGTAATTAGCGGTTTTGTGTCTGCCGCTGCCATTACCATTGGTTTTGGCCAAGTGAAGAACGTGTTGGGATTGAAGAACATAAAAAGAGCTTTCTACTTGTGTGTTTACGAAACATTTGAAAACATTGCAAAAACCAATCTCTGGGACCTTTTACTGGGCTCGGTTTGTATTGTACTTTTAGTTATCCTAAAGAAGCTGAATAGAATCCAGTGGCATGAGGACAAAGATGACACCACTTTGCAGCGAGTATGCAGGAAATTTTTGTGGGTTGTGTCTACAGGACGTAACGCTCTAGTTGTCGTTTTAGCTGCAGCTGTCGTGAAAGCAGTGCAAGCAGCAACCGGACGCCTGGACGTATTTTCCATGACACCTGAAGCAGAAAAAGGAATTCCAGATTTTAAGGTTGGTGTATATAAATTATATTGGTATATTCAAATGTTGACAGTAATGTGAACTGAAGCAACTGGAGTGCTGTGACTCTTTTGCAACAAAATTGGAATTTTAACGAGGGGAGAAGGGGGGATCAAACCTAAATTTCCAATTAATGTTAAGTGGAGAACAAGTAATTTTAAGGAAAACGACCAATTTTTTGAGTTTGAAAGACATGTTTCGACAGAACTTCGGTCATCTTCAGTTGAATGAATGATTACNCCTTTACAACAAGAAATTTGATTGGCTGTCTGTAGTAGATCCAATCTGATTGGTGTGACATACATACATCTCTCACTCACTCACTCACTCATCCATTGACCCGTTCACAACATACCCGACGCGCCGACTAAGAGTTATTTTTTTTTACAAAAAAATAACTCAAAAATTGAAAGATGTCTTGACTAACGATTATTGTATTACTAAGTTATTTTGTGCCTAAAATGAAAATACACCCATACGCTCATACACAGCTAAGTTTATGACTTTAACACGGAAATCTTGTACATATTTTACAACGTGGCGCGTACAAGTTTTCTGTCCTGTCCATTCATATTTGGCCCAAGTCAATACAGATGGGAGTGAACATTGGTGGGCACCTGTATGACTTCTAGTGGGGACTAATGTGTTGCATTTCAGGTTGAAAGTATTCAAAAAACCTTCGTCATTGTTGCCTGGCTATTATTGGCGTTGCTTCTCGTCAAACCAATGCCTTAGGTTATTTCGGTCACTTTATGCTTACGCCATTTCGTAGTCCACATGCTTCACTAGCCAATCAGAAGCAACCTGCCATTTTGTCAACCTCGTTTTGTACCCGAGATGCTGGCCAGTGTTTCATTGATAAAAAGAAAGGTGTTGCATTGCTACTTGAACATCTTGAACTTTTCAAATATATTCAAAAGTTGGCAACAGTTCGATTTGTCTCCCTCTTTTCCTCTGTACGCTTTCTTCCAGTCCCGTGTCTGATGTCAGTCGCCTTCTCCAGTCCCTTACTGTTTATTGTCACCTATAGAGTTGAAACATCATTGAAACAAATAACTTAAATTCTGCTCGTTACAGGTAGACGATAGTTTTTTGAAACCGTTAAATAGAGATTGTTAACAGCTGTGGTAAGGAATTAGTAAGAAGTGTTAAAGCATCGAATGGTTGAAAATTTTAAGTGAACATCTAGAGAAAAGCTACGTGATAAAATGAAGAAACAATTTTCATTCGTGTGCTTATGCCGGGAAGAAGTATGCGTTAAATTGAAATTTATGTGCATAAAATGCTCTGACTATATAGTAACCTGAAATTCATGCCACAGGCTGAAGGGTTTTCGACGCCGTGAGTTTTGACCTCCTGTGTAGTGACAGAAACATTGTGTACTTTAACCTTCTTTTGATTGTGTTCTGCCTGTAAGACGAGGGTGTATTTTTGTAATTATCGGGTGAAGCGAAGAAACGGTGAACTGAGTAACAGGTGAAACTGTGGTCTGTTTTGGTGTCACAAGTTTTACAAGCGAGTTATTTTGGATAACCGCACCCAAATTCACTGTATAGCCAAAAACAGTGATTCAATTCATTGGTTTCCAGTGGTTTCCAGTGGTTTCCAGTGAAACACCCTTGGAAGGTGCGAAAATGTCACTGCGAAAATGTTGTTTTCTACCAACACCGACACGCTTTCGAAACTATTTCAGTGCTCATCACAAGTGCTTCCATAATTTTCAACGCCCCCGTATAGGAATCACTTCAAGTCAGGTACATCTGTTCAAAATTAGGGCTATGCACAATACACCGCAGGTGCAACTGTTTACTGTTAAAGTGCCGGTGAAGATAACATTTTGATTTGCATATGGTTCACTCGATAAGTAACGTTAGTGTGCAGTGGTTTTCCTTTCTCCCCCTCTTTTAAGGATTTCATAGTTTGCAAACAGAAATGCGTTTGTTACGCCCTGTGGGATCATCCATAATGATTTATTCAGGATTTCTAGTTTTTTGTGTGTTTGTCATTATTATTAAAATTGACCATTCGATTGTTTCTGGAGTACAGAGGTTGGGCATAGTATATTTCACTGGGTGAATTGATTATGTGGTGCTCAGAGGCGGTGATGTTTTTTCTTTCCTTTTTAAAGAGCTATTAAATGATAAAACTCGCAGTATGCCTGGCGTCGCCTCAACCTTTTTACTGTAAAACTGATTGCCTCTAAACCTTACAGATCTCACTACAAACCTTCAAGTTACGTAACAGACCACAAGTCTACGAACACGTTACAAATCTGATATTAGTCCCGACACGATTCCATCATGTGGCGGTCATCCCATAGACCCAGCTGAGGAAGTCGTCACAACTGCTGTTCACATGTTTCACTTATTTTGATTATCAAGGCTCTTTTGACCGTCATGAGTTTTGCTGGCATGGGATACCGATGAACGGGTGAAACACGCGTTTCATGGTAATATTTAAAGAGAAAAAAAAAGCCACCCACGACAGATTGCCGAACGATCTCGCAGCCCGTTTAGTTTAATGGTTTTCCGCGAGATTTAACGAGTAATCCGAGTCACGCCGTCGACCGGCCGGCGAAATATTCTACAAGTGAGTTTTCCTTTATTCTTATTATTTTAATTCTTCAGTTGAAGCTGGATTTTCAACGTTGCCTGCATGCAAACATTGCTTCCCTGCTTGTTTTTGTATCGCAGGCAACCAAGTGAATACATGAATAAATTCGTCGCGCTCGGCTGATTGGTGGAATTATCCGGTGACCTGTTCGCTGTGAGTTCAAACAAGATGCTGAAATCAAAACAGGTGATGTGTCAATTCGCTTGTAACTCTCGAACGGTCCCGTCGACTGCATTCCGCATAATCTTGATTCTATCGTCTGCCATTTTAACATGAGTTGCTCGGCTTTACAGGGAAAATGCTTGGAACACTGTCACCCGCACATGTTGAAAGGATATCTCAAGAAGCGGTTTCCAATCACGGCTTGGCTGCCAGAATATTCACTCAAGACTCTTCAATGTGACATAATAGCTGGGCTTTCAGTGGGCCTTATGGTCGTTCCTCAAGGCCTGGCCTACGCTCAACTGGCCGGCCTTCCTCCTCAATACGGACTATACTCAGCGTTTCTGGGTTGTTTTGTGTATTGTTTTCTTGGGACGAGTAAAGACATTACACTGGGTCCGACAGCGATTATGTCACTTATGGTATCGGCGTACGGCAAACCTGAAGAACCACAGTTTGTTGTCGCTTTAACATTATTCACTGGAGTTATTTTACTTTCTATGGGGCTTCTTCGCTTAGGTTTCGTGGTGAATTTTATTTCAATTCCAATCGTAAGCGGCTTCACTACATCGGCGACAATAATCATCGCATTCAGCCAGATTAAAGATTTACTTGGATTAGAAAATATCCCTCGTCAATTCGCCAAGAATGTCTACTACACCTTCAAGAATTTAGGTCTCACGAGGAAGTGGGACATAACTTTGGGAATAATCTGTATATTATTTCTGGTAACTCTCAGAAAGATCGGTCGTCTTCAATGGGTCAAGCAGAAAGATTCGAGCGATTCAAAGTGGATGAAGGCGGCAAAAAAGACGGTGTGGCTCATTTCAATCAGTCGAAATGCTCTTATAGTTCTGATAGCCGGCTTAGTGTCTTCATCGTTTTTTAAACACGGCCATACCGACATTTTCACTTTACCGAAGCATATAGACCCCGGTTTGCCACCTATACAGGTATTTATTAATAATGTTTACTTGATATTTTTCTTGTTTGTGATAAGCGGCGCATCATTGACCGAATAATGCAGTACCGTCGAGAAACTTCAATTCGCATCAAACGCAATTAATCTCTGAATGCTTTGCAAATCTCAACTAAATCGAGTTCGTTAAATTTTTCTGTGACTTAAAGAAATTTGGCCTTTTAGTTCGTGTTTTTTTCGTAAATAGAAATTTTGCCACCGAATTTGTTCTTGCCCCCCTTGTTTGATACAAGTACTTATATTTTTTCAGGATCACTGATTGGTCGAAGAAAAAAAAATTCTTTCAAAAGCGCGAAAACCCCATAGAAACGATGCATCTCCGTCATTTCATTCAAAAAACGTTACTTTCACGTTGCATTCTTTTGCCATACACTCTACGTCAAATAATGCTCACTACGAAGTTTTGATAAAATGTTTCTTAAGAGGACATTTAACTGTATATTAACATTCGGTTTAATTTAACTTTAATGAAGTTTTCATTCATTCATTAATACATGTATTTGGATAAACAAGTATATATAAATATATAAATATGAATAATATGAGGAACATACACTTGAATTGTAGTGGAAACATCCATTGAATGAAGTGATTTAATGGGTGAGAAATGTCAAGTGTACCATTGCTTAAACATTAAGATTTTTTGTCTGTCAATAGTTTTTACCATTTTAGAACTTTATTTAACATGTTTAGTTTGTGTCAGTAAGGTGCATGTATAACTTCCTTATTCGAAGATGTGGTGTTCACTGTTGGTCAGGAATGGGGGAATTATGAAGTAAATGACAGGAAATTTTGAGGAAGAGATGTGGGTGGGTGGGTTTGTACAGAGAGGGTGGGTAGGTGAGTGCAGAGAGGGTTGGGTGGAGAGGAGGGGTAAGTGAGTGGACAGGGGGTGGGGGAGGAGGGGATAAGGTAAGAATTTCCAAGGTCTGGGGGAAACCATTGTGGTTGTTGGAAGAGTGAACACAAGGGAGTAAATTGCAAAACTGAATACTTTTTTCCCATTTGACAGAGCACTTAAAGTCAGTTGAAAGGGCAGACATCATGAAAGATACGTCAGCAACACCGCATTTCGTATCAAAATCTAATAAATTAGTTTTCATTAAAAAATACTGAAGTGTAATTTCAAATTTTATTTTAAAATAGGCACCTGCGCTGAGCTTCCGTTACGAGAACTCCACGTTGACTCCAGCTGAAGTACTCAAGGAACTTGGGCCTGGCCTTGCTGTCATTCCTCTGATTGGCTTTCTTGAGAGCATCGCAATTGCCAAGGCTTTTGCACGGAAGAATCGCTACACTGTTGATGCCAGTCAAGAGTTGATTGCTCTTGGTATTGCCAATTGCCTCAGCTCTTTTGTGTCTTCATATCCAGTGACGGGAAGCTTCTCAAGGACAGCGGTGAATGCTCAAAGTGGGGTTGCCACACCTGCTGGAGGTAAGTTCATCAGTTTTACCATGCTAGTTGTTGCTGTACAGTTGAACCCTTTCAAGCAGCCATGTATTAAACTACCACCTCTATTACACTTAAGATAAATCCTAATCTTATACAAATACCATCTCTACTAAGGAGCTGCAGCCATCTTTTGGCAATTCCAATCAGGGTTTTCCTTTGCCGTTACCCTTTTTACATGGCACAAGGAATTTGGTACAATTAGTTTGGCATTATTTTCACAAGGTTGAGGACATGTAAACTAGAAGGCAACAACTGATGAAAACTTTTCAATGCATATTTTATCTTCGTGAGATTATACATTTTTTTCCAAGATAAGTTGCTATCCTAAAAAAAAAAAGTTGCTATCCTTTGATTTTCTGGCAAACACATTTACCAGGCCTCATGCTAATTTCAGATGCACCACCAATAAGCGGCCAACCTCTATTAAGTGGCTTCCTATTAGAGGTTCACCTATAAATGGTAAACACATCGTGAGACAAATGATGATACTTTACTATTTTAAGAATTTGATGTTTTCCAATATTTGCACACCTAAGACTGCAGCAAACGTTAATAAAAGTTTGCCCACAACTTAATTCTTTGTCATTTACTTTGATCAACAGTAATGTGCTATTTTGCAATTGATCTAACTTTCCCTTATTTATCTTTGTCGTAGGAATTTTTACTGGGGCAGTTGTTCTGTTGGCCCTTGGTGTGCTGACTCCATCCTTCAAGTACATTCCAAAGGCATCTCTTGCAGCACTGATCATGTCATCAGTGGTGACCATGATAGAGTATCACATCATACCAAGTATCTGGAAGGTTCGACGCATAGACCTGGTGCCACTGGCCGTCACCTTTTTTGGTTGTTTCTATGACATTGAAGTTGGAATTCTAACTGGTATTGTTGTTGCTCTGTGCATCCTTCTGTACCAAGTTGTTTGGCCATCTGTTCAAAAGATCAGTAGAGGAGACTATGTCCTGCTCAAGGTTCATGGCAATCTCAACTATCCTGGTGTTGAGCATGTCACCAATGAAGTTCAAGCAGTTGCCATTGCCGATCCTCCACCACCTGGAATTGTTCTCGATTTCTCTGTGGTCACTAGTATTGATTATACAGTCACTCAATCACTTCTGACGGTACTGGAAGACATGGACAACAAGAGAATACCAATCTTCTTCACTGGTGTCCAAGATAATGTGCGTGATATGATGGTTAATTCTGGGATTGACCCGGGAATCATTAATCAAGGTACCCAGGTTATTGTAGATTCAATTAATTCACTGGAGGTAATTGCACAGAGTTAAATAAATATTGTCACATTACTCTTTTCAGTCCTTAGCAGTGAGGCTGTGAAGACATTAGGCTGTGATTCTCTTACTAAAAACCTTAGTGTTCAGGTAAAAATCATACACATATTATTACTATCCACTACAAGCAAAAATAGTGGCATGGCATGGCCAATCAAATTTGCAAATTTAAAATAGACCATGGCCTTTTTACTGATACTAGTTAGCTACTCTGGGTCACTTTCTAGTCAAATCAGCTGTGAACCTGACACTGCATTGATATTCTGAGGAAAAATTAGGGGTTGATCTCTGTCTGGGCTCAAAAAGTAGACAACAATTTCACTGGGTTAGATGTCATCATGTAGAAATCTTGGTTTCTCTGTATGACTATTTAAGAAATGGAAAACATTTTCAGTGTTTTGAGTTCTTTAAACCAGAATGATTCTATAACTCAAAAGAAAAACCAAATTGTTTTCCCATTTCTTTTAGCAAACACTCCCCAAAAAAGAATGGAAAATTGCATGTTTATTTTGGTGACTAAAATGTAAATGCTCTTCATTCATGCAACACATCAACAGTTCATGCTAAATCTGTGTATTGAGTAGGAGTATGACTTTTAGCATGTGCTTTCTTACAGTTGTTTTCTATTTAACTGATTCATACAAAAAATTATTTAGGAGGTTAACAAATTTCAATGTTGTTTCTGGATTATTTGTACTCTTCCACAGTGGACCCTCACACACAAGATTTTTTTTGGGATTACAAGCCTGTTTAAATCCAGTTAATTATGGCTCCTTCAGGAAACTAAACTTATGGTTTTCCAGTTTTTTAATGATTACAATTTGGGAGACAGTTGTCCACTTGATGACCACACTTTATGCCACTGACCTCCGAGTCACCTCTTGTGAATATAAATCTCAATAAATCTCAAATTATTTTATATCTTTTAGAGATTTAAAGATTTAAAAGAGTCAGTAAATTTTCAGATCAGTTTTTGCGTCTCCTAGACATTTTGAATATTTCTGCCGAACAACAGGCTTCCTACAGGTCCACGTATGAAACAGACTTTGGGTTATCTTTAGGTTGTCACTCTGCAGATAGCAAAAAAAAAAAATTATACAAGTCGTGTATTTTATTTTTGATCTCTTGATGAGTAGAAGTAGTCCATGCTTTCTCCTTTTGTACTGTGCATTAGAAACAAATACTTTTCAATGATATTATATTCTGTATATTACTTAAATAATAAAGTGGTTAGCCAGGTATTTGCTATTTAAAGTTAGTTTTTTTCATGTTAGCTATGGGGCAAAGAAGAGAACAAAAAGTGAATATAGAGTTTAGTATATATTTTATTATAACGTATGCTTTTCATATATTAATGATACTGATTTGTATTTCTGTGAGAGGAAAGCTCACACAATTTAATACAGAGCTAAGATTCAAGGTACAAAATACTTTGGGAAGAGCTTATTGCAATTTAACAAATAAAATGAAAGAATTTGGGGTTGAAAGAAATTCAATATTTTTAGTAAATTGGCAAAATATAGGATAAAAGAACAAAAACGATTTTATAATATTTATGTCACAGCCCACATGCACCTAAAAATGTCATTCTTTGTCCAGAGTCATATGTTAATATGACTATTTATACTATATGTACTATATATACTAATTTTCATTGAACACATGGCACTGGGTGCATGCTATAACTTGTTAGGTCGTGGGGGGGGGGGGGGGGTATGGTGTACAATGCAACAAAAGGTGCATTTTCCAATAGCAGACTAGAAAACATTTTGGAAAGGAAAAATAGTAATAATAATTTAATGATTATCAATAATGATTAGGATTTATTTATGGTTGTCTGCATAGCAGCTCTACAGCCTGTCGTAGTGTTTCCAAAAGTATAACAAATAAAGGAGCAACAGATGCACTTTTACTGCTGCATGCTATATACTCTAAGTGATTCTTATAATATTATTATGACAATTATTAAACACTATTATTATTATAATTTATTACAGTCAAACTCTGTCAATACAGATTCCATAGCGACTATAGAGGGTTTTCACATTAACAAGGTGTCGTAAAAGGTGGTTGAAAGAAATTGTTTAAGTTCAGGATGACAACCTGTCATAATAAGTTGTCCATAAAAAGCAGGTGCACGTAATGCAGGATTTGACTGTATTTGAAAATATTAAGCAAAAAGGTAAAGTTATATGTAACCCAAACTAGCATCCACCAAGGAAAAAAAAACAGAAGTCTTTAGCTTGCCACTCAGCAACCAACTGTACAAAACAGACCGAGAGGGCAAAATCGTTGCACAAATCCAGCCGTCCAAGACAGGGAGTTTTTACTTTGGAGGGTTAACCTGCAGCCATGCAGGTGAAACAGCAATATCCAGTCACTTATGGAAACTAATGTAAATTTCCATCTGTATGGATCAGTGAAGCTAAATGCAGGCTATTTTATGTCAACACTTTTCTCAAACATAGGCTTAAACCTTTCAAGATCATAGTTTTGTTTTTATCATTGAATGACAATGATTGCAAAATGGATCTTGCTGAGTTGCAAACTATCGATTCTCTTCCTCATTCCTAACACTATATTTAAAATCAAATGAAATTACATTCAAACAACCACAACATTCAGGTGTGGAAAATCAGGTTTCATTTGGATCTGACTGGTTGAGAAAATGCCACAAAATTTTTAAACTGGTCCAAGTGCAGTTAAGGAAAACTAGTTTCAAGTTATTTTGTACATGTACACAGTGTTAGAAAATGATACTGAGAAATATATGGAGAGCTGGAGGGATTATGTTGCTGCTTGAACACACCACCAGCTCAAGTGTAATGGGCCTGACTGAGTGACTTACAGATACATTGCAATCTTTGCAAAACCATATTTTTTTGGAAAGATTTTTGGTTACAATCAAAGCTGCCTAACAGAATACTTAATTTACAATAGTTAAATTTCTCAGCTATTATTTTAATGGGAACATTTGCACTGAGAGTGGGATGAAATAAATGGTACAGAAAAGATGCTGTCTCTTTCCTTTGAGTGTACAGTGTCAATTGTTGTAAAGTAAGTTTTGCTAGATTATGTTGCCATAGTAGCAGGTTTTTAGCCAGAATTTGACAAGTGGCCATCCAAAATGTGCTAAAGGGCCTGCTCAAATAAGCAATTGATAAGGCAACATATGAAAAGTAAAATAATTTTCTATAGAAAATGGCCATCCACAGGACGCTGGATACCCATCTGGCTAAAAGCCTGCATAATGGCTCTAGAAGGCTGAATACGCTTGCTGCAAAACCCTGTAACATGACCTTGTCAATCACAAAAATAAGTGGTAGCATAAACACAGTTGATGCAGATTTCAGACCTCATTCTTTGAAGACTTTTCGAGGGCAATAGACCAATTTCGATGTATATTAAAATTCAGTCTAAAACAAAAGACCTCAGTACGAGGCTCTGAGGAATAACTACAGATTTTGTGGGGTTTATTTCCCAGAGCCTCATGCTGAGGTCTACTGTGTTAGGCTGAATTTTAATATATTGAAATTGGTCTATTCAGGACTTGTTTTCCCAAGTATTGGCAGGGGTTGGGGTTGGGGGTGGAAGGGGAGTGGGGGGGGGCACAGAATACAAAATACTTCAAATCTTTACTTACACTGTTTGGAACTTCAAATAATTTAGTCTGGTATCATCAAAATCAGCTATTGAGACTAAAATGTCTTTTCTTTTTAAATTATATCCATATCCATTGCTGCTCCCAACATTGTTTCACTAGCAGAAAAATGTTACTTTTTTTCCCCTGTAGTTTCAAGCATTTAAGGAATTTCCAACACAATTTAAGGACTTCTGGAAGACTTTTTGAGAGAAAACCTTTTTCTTCATTTTCAATCCCTTTTTAAGGATATTTCAAGGCCTCTTTGAATCATGCCCAAATTTTTTGCCAGATCTTTACTCCATGTACGATTGCCATTGCATGAAATCTGACACTTTAACCTTAGTGGCGTTGAAACTACAACCTAAGGGAACCTTTCTAATTTTGCTACCCTTCTTACAGTTCTGGCACTTATTTTATATGTTATCACATACTTTTTAAATATAATTCACAAGACCACATTAAAAGTTTCCTGGAAGGGCCTATTTTTATATACAGATTCTACCTTGGCTCCAAGGGTTAGGGGAATAAAACAAAGTAAATCAATTCTTCATCCAATTCAATGTGATGTCTTCACAATATTAGTTTACACCTCAAGGCCTTGGAGTAAAGTTCAAATTTTGATCCAAGATTAAAATGTAATGTATCTCTGTAGCGGGTATTTTTGTCTTGAAGATTTTAAATATAACTCTTAGCACGTATCTTAAGCCTGATGCCTTATATCTTAAGAGGATGGGCTAACAGGAACATTTCCTGAAAAGCTTAATTTGTGCATAGCAGTCTATATGTCTGGTAATGATACCACAAAACATATAATTTACGCTTTTGCAAGCATTATTTAGCTATTGTGGGTCTGTCTATTCCAAGCCCGTCCATCCCCCCTGAGGGCATTTGTCAGGCATCAACATTTCCCACCCCAAGAGTAGTGCATTTGCTATGACAGATCAGCCTCGCAATAGGGCAATGTCAAGGGCAATTTTGTCTTTCAGTTTTTTAAAATTATACATACATCTTCCGCCATATAATTTTACATTTTCTGATTGCCCTTAGTATGAAACATATAGAAACTGAGTAAATAAACCTTGTTGGATTCCTGCACTTTTCAAATGACCCCATACTCCCCTGTCACCCTCACATGTGCAAAAATTTTGATTGCAGAAAGAAGCCTCATAAGCTTTGAAGGGCAAGTTGTGCAATGGAAAGTGCTTGGTTGTTGTTGTTGTTATTCAATCAGAAAGTTCAAGCACTTTTTATAGAGATCAGATTCTGTGAATGCACTGACTTGCTGACTGCAAAGCTGTCTTATCACTGGTTGTCAAACATAGAAATATGGGCATAAAGTCCTGCCAAAATGGAATGCCACTTGTTGTGTAACTTTCCGTTTGTTAAGTTTTTGTTTTACTTTGCAGAAGTGCATTGCTTCCAAAAACCATGGTAACTGAGAAATTAATTAAGGTCCATGACTTTAAAATGGATCTCAGATAATAAATTGTATATGAGAACAATTATTTCAACAATTTTATATGTAACATTCATGAATCAGAAAAACCGAATTTTAACCTTGTCATATAGGCCAGGCATTTGCAGTCACCGTGGAGATTTGCACCCATGAAAACAAATATCATGCATATATGTCATATCATGTCCACCCCTAAAATGAACTGTAACCCACCTAATCCCGGAATTATATTTCAACATGTATTCACAGAAAGGTCAGAAATTGAAATGCAAAGAATGCTTTTTTACTTAAAATGCATAATGCAAGCTATAAAGATTGAGAAAACACAAACACGACTTTCTTCGAGTTCAAAGACAACTGCATACAGGAAAACTTAGTTTCATCAATGTTTCATTCTGTTGTTTTGTGTTTGTGCTGTTCCTGGCTATTGGAGTGTATCCTTGCAACATGTAATTGAACATAAACTATATTAGCTTACTATCAAGCTTAAAAGTTTAAATAACTTACCGTAACCAAATAACCCTGTCCTCACCCTCGCAGCTTCGGAACTCTTGACGTCCGCATAGTCCTTTTCGCTTCTCTTGGCCGGCAGGGCCTTGGCACCAGAATATGAGGCTTACTCGTGCCACTTGTTTTAGAGCGCGGGAAAAACCACTGCTAAACCAAGCAAGTGTAAAATGCAAGCGTAACGCTAGATAAATGACATAAAGTAAACAGGAGTGCATATTCACTTCCGGGTTTTGCAGGAGTGCAATTCGATCTGACCCTTATATTCTTGTGATTTATACCCGTTTACTTGTTCTCGGAAAGTGCGCATTATATGATACTTTCTTTAAATCGAGTCATTGTTATCTCTTGATTTTTCTGATGTAAGGTTTGCATTTAGTTTTTTGGGACTTCAGTATTTACGACCCTTTATCAAAACAGATTGACACACAGGTTTAGAATTCCATCTCTGGAACGCCACCACCATCACCACAATCGCCACCACCCGGGGGGGGGGGGTGGGGGGTCATAAATAGGGTAAGGGTTTTAGGAAATGGGCCGCACACCCCCACCCAACTTTTCTGGGAGTACCCCCTCCAGGCGCCACCACCACCGCCACCGCCGCCTCCCACCACCACATACATACATATATACATGCAAACTTTATTGAAACTCCTTAAGTGGGTTTTTCAGCTACAATAGAAACGAAAACTACAAATTGAAAAACTATAAAAATACAATTGAAATTCTATAGTAGCAATAAAATACATCAAAGATAGAAATGCTACTTTCCATATATTAAAGATTCAAAAATACAATAAAAAAGGAAAGACATTTCATTCAACCTACTAAAAAAATGCATTCAACTATTCAACAAATGTGCAAGTTGACGCTTGAAGTTCTTGGGGCATTTTAAATACTTAAGATTGTGACTTAAAGAGTTCCATAGTTTGGCTCCTCTGTAGACGAAAGAGAGCTGACCATTTGATAAGCGGCAAAGAGGTATGTCCAGGGTGTTAGACGATCTAGTTTGTCTATCGTGGACGTGGGAACGTAACTTAAACTTATTTGCAAGGTAGCCCGGGACAAGTTTGTTAATGCACTTGAACACCATAGTTGCGTCATTCAATTTGAGTCTGTCTTTAATAGGAAGCCAGTTCAATGATCGCAGCCCGTCGGAAATATGGTCGTACTTTTTAAGAACAAGAAAGATTCGTCCAGCAAAGTTCTGGGCCTTTTGCAACTTATCTATATTGCGTTTGCTGGTGCTGCTCCAAACAGTTGAACAATGTAGTAGTTTGCTAAAGATAAAGGTATTCATAAATAGTAAGAGCGTCTTCCTATCCAGGAGATTCTTAATTCTGTTAATTTGTTTTCGCTCAATTCAATTAAAGAATTTGAACCGGGATTTTGATATGTTCGTTATAGTTGAGGCTTGCGTCAAGGTAAACACCTAAGTCTTAAACGACAGGCATAGTCTTAAACGACAGGCATTGGTTATATTTCATTGTCAAATAGTGCTATTCTAAATGATGGTACTCTCTTCAAGAGTTGTGGTACTCCAACAGCCAGAACTTTTGTTTTATCCGGATTGATCAAAAGGGAGTTTCTACAGCACCACTGACAAATTTTTTGTAAGATCGTCGTTCATTGCAGAAATGGATTTGGCTAACTCATCAGGTGGAAAGGAAAGGTACATTTTGCAGTCATCGACATGGGAGGTAGATATGCAATGTTCAGGTACAGAAAGAAGATCATTGACATAAATGGTAAACAGAACTGGACCCAATATAGAACCTCATGGGACGCCAAACGCGAGTGGAAGTGTTTTAGAAACTACATCACCTATTCGAACGCACTTATGTCGATTGGAAAGGTAACTCCGAGACCAATCTAACGCATGCTGGGAGAAGCCAATATTATGTAGCTTAAGTAATAATTTATTGTGACGACTGAATACTGTCAAATGCTTTGGACATATCCAGCAAGACCATGATCGAGACTTTCTTGCAGTCCATAGCTTGAAGTAACTGATCCGTGACGTTCAGCAAAGCTGTTCCTGTTGAATGATACTTTCTGTTTCCACTCTGGTTTACCGCCAAGATAACATTCATAGATAGGTACTCCATAAGTTGTCCATGTATCAGTCTTTCAGTGATCTTTGAGATTATTGGCAATAAAGAGATGGAACGATAATTGTTAGGGACTTCAGGGTCTTCACTTTTAAGGATAGGTGTGTTTTCTGCTGTTTTCCATGCACGTGCAAACGTGTTGGTTGTAAAAGAATTGTTCACAATGCGGGTAACTGTCGAAAGTGTAGAAGACTGTCTTTTAAAATTGTAGGCGTTATTTTGTCCATTCCTGGAGCCTTGTTAGATGGTAAACTTCTGATCACACTTTCCACCTGACTTTTGGTGACTTCATAAAGTTTGAACAATTCTGCAATGCTGTTGGAGGAGGTAGAAAGAGGAACTGGCGCTTCAAAAGTCAGATTTAGCCCATGGTGTGAAGCCAGATCACTTGCGGCTTTTTGAGCAGTAACGCTGCCAACAGAAGTGAAAAATTCATTTAATTTATTAGCTAGTCCGGTGGGAGTCTTCATGAGTCGTAGAACCACCCCCACCGCCAGCACCACCGCCAAATTCGTCAAGACAAGATCAATTGCTACTGTTCGGCCAGAAACTGCGCTTAAGGCTGGTTTGACTTTCCATATGATCACTACGATCACTGCCGCAAAAACTTCAGCCATCGTAGCGATCGTTTGCAAACCGGTAGTCGTAAGGCCAGGTCGTAATTTTTCTGTAACGATCACAAAGATCGCAGCGATCTCAGAGATCATATGGAAAGAAGCCTTAAATTTAAATGGGCGCTTGCATACAGGGAGAAAAGCTACAGTCAGGGAGAAAAGTAGTTGAGACACTGCTCAAAAACAGTTATTTTCTTTTCAAACGTAATTTGTCCAATCTTTACTCCTCATATTTGGTCCCCCTTCTCAATGTTGTAACCACATGACAGTCTCATCAAAGCTAGTCTGTCCTTTGTTTTCTTTGGAGAAAAGGACGCTTTTTAGTCCCCTCCCCTTATGCCATCACCTTGGGAATTTTCCGTTTCTCGAGAGACGGGGAAAGAAGTCCACAGATTTGACAGAGCCCCTAGTTTTGTCTTTCTCCAGAGCCAGTCCCTTACGTTCGAGCTTTTTTAAATCCCCTGCGGTTGATTCTTTTGCTTACGATCTCGACGAACTCAAGATAAAGCCCGTTTCAACATTTATTGGGAGCAGGGGGGTTTGGCTATCGACGAAAAAGATGTTGAAGTTTCTTCGTCATGGGAAGCACGGTTCTTTGTTAGAAAGAGTTTGATTTCCTGAACTGTTTGAAGACTTTTGTCCCTGATTGTACGTCTCTCCGCCTTCAGTTCACACCCAATATCCTCCCACCCCCAAAAAGAAAGCAACAACGACAGGGTGATTTGAGGTGCGACATACTGGGGAAGCTATGCCTTAAAAGAGATAGTGTATCCAGCAAAAAAAACTTGCCTTATTTTCTCTTACTGATTTTCTCACTGTTCCCAACTTATTACATACCTGGAACAGGCCAGAGCGAGGTCAGGATTGAAATGAGACATTCTGGCTACCCAAGACTTCTAAAAGTCTTATTTTGCTTTGATAGACTTCCATACGACTCCATTAGACCCCATTAATTCAATCAAGCACTAACTTTGACAGGCTGTCACTTATCATCAGCAGCACTCAGCATTTTGAGGCACATGTATGTATTTCACATTTTCAAGAATAAAATATCGACATCAAAACCCGTCTCTCAAGTTGTACACAGGTGTTTTTATTCATCAAAAGATTACCAGAAGCTGTGACACCTCTTAACTCCCCATACTGTCTGAGGACGTTCTTCCTTTTCACAGTAAATCCCCATAAAGTGCATGGTTCAACCATGCATTTAATAGGAGGAAGGGAGACTTACATCAAATTAATTATCTCTTGGGATGACAGTGGAGCTCACACGTGTGGAAGAGGAAGTTCTCTGAGTGGCAGTACGTTGTCATTTTCTACGTTAATATTTTTGTTCGTGGATTCTCCCATCTACTTGTTTGTAGGTTCTTGACTCTCAAAATGTGAGGTTGTTGATACACAATATTGAAAGTGAGCTAGGGTGAGGAATAATTTAGCCATCACAAAGCAATATTAATGTGAATGAGAAATTAATGAAAATGAGCTAAAACGACTTAAGGGAAAAAACACTAGGCATTTTAATGCTGATGTAATCACAGCATTAACAGCTGCAGTCTTGGAGAGAGATGAGAGGCGGACATATGTAATGATTCCATGCATGTTATACCCTTGGTAAATTCTAGAAATAACAACAAGGAACAATGCTTGGGAAAGCAAAACATCTTAAGTTATTTAATAACATTAAATATTAATAAAACTGTAATATTAATATTTAACATTAATAGCATCCAACTTAAAAAAAATTGCTCATACATATTTAAACTCATAATATCTCACTAACTTAAAGTAAGCATGAAAGGTATTTCCAAAGAAAACAACCATGGAAGGAATCACAATAATTTTAAACTTTTAACTGCTCTCATTGTACATAATAATTATTATGAGTACTACAAAATAGTTGAAGTAGCTGTTACTTTCCAGAATACCCTAAGCTTGTCCTGTTCCTTTATAACAAGGTGTGAAAAAATACACTCCCATTTAAGCTCTGATCCATGGCCGTAGTAGTTTGCAGAATGGAATTCATAAATTGCACAATTTTTCATTAAAACACTGCATCAGAGGTACTGCCTAATGCCATGCACTTTGGCTCTGACTAACCTTGATGTGTAGTTTCATACTACTAGGTCAGACAGGAAGTCAATGAAGCAAAGCAGTTACGGTTGGCAATGAGAAGTAAAACAAATTTTAACTGACATGAAAGAACCTTTGTAAATTGTCTGAATCATTAATTTTATGAACACGCAAAGAAAAACTCCAGCAGTAAATATGCAATTATGTTTCAATAACCTCTGAATTTCAGGATTCAATACTATTATGTTTCTAACACTGTTAAGTTCATTTCAGACAAAACTTAAGACTACACACTACAAAAAAACCTAACTGCCAATGACCACATAACCACACTGGCCAAATGTGGGCCAAACTTACACTAAAAGAATAATTCACATATTAATTAGCTCAAGTTAAATATTTAGCACAATGTTCCAATACCTACATGAAATCTTGTGAACGGGTTAAAAAGCTTAGATGCTTCATTCAGAGATAAAAATGGCAGTGTTAATTTTAGAGATATGCTTGCTGACAAGTAGTTTGACAAACATCTTCCTCCAATGAACCACTGGTCTCTTGAAGTCTTGTCAAATTAAGCTGGTAACTTCAGAGACTTTCCCTTGAGAACTGCAAAAACAAACAAGAGTGACCAACAAGTTATTTCCTGAAAAACAGTCGAACCTCCCATAAGCGACCACCCAAAATGTCAAGCCTATGTGGTCATTTACGGGAGGTGGTCGCTTACCAGAGCTTAGAACATATTGGGTCAAAATTTCGCCTCATTAGCATATGGCAATTTCAAGACATTTAGGTCATCTCTTTTAAGACTGCTAGAGTACAACATATGTGCATTTTATCTTTAAATTTTCAATGTTTTATTCATGTGAAAAATCGATTTCAAGAAAAAAACCTGTACTACCCAGGAATACAACACCTTATTATCCAATTTTCACTCAAGTGGTTGCTTATGGGAGTTTAAAAAGTGGGCGCTGTCACTTACAAGAGGTTCCAAACATAGTGATTTGACCGGGAAACTTTTTATATTTTGGAAAACTGGCTGTTGAGGAGACGTGGTCGTAACCGGAGGTTCCACTTTATTAACAATTGATATATTGTGATGCAGCCACGTGGGGAGAAAAAGGAAGAAAATCGTCTACTTGGGATGTCAGGTTTTTAGTAAGATGGCCATCCAGGTGTTCATGGGCATCTACTTTTAGTGAGCATTACTGGATTGATAGCCGGGGTTTCATTAACGTCTTCACAGGTGAGCAAACTGTTTGAACTAAACTTCTACCAGAAGAAAAACTTTCTTCTAGATGGTCCAACTAGGCAGGCAAAATCATCCTCACGACTGGTCGATTTGCCTGGTACCCAGCCCTTAATGAAACCCCTGTAATAGTTACAAAGGTAAAATGCACTAAAAATTGCAGATATATACACCTTAAATGTGTTTGAATTTTGTCCTCAAATCCACCTCTGAGGGTGGCAGCTTATGTTCACTAGAAAGTTTTGGATGAACACTTTTTAAAGGAGAAGGTCACTCCAAAAAACGTTTATTTTTTGTCAATCCTAATGAAAACCTTGCACTAACTTAAGCCACTCACCAAAGTTTCAACTTCTTAAGTGCGGGTTTTCCTTATGAAATTTGTCTCCAAAGAAGCCCAAAATTCAAACATCGTTGCCACCATAATGAACAGTACTCAGCAGCTAGGCTGCGTTTTCGTGACTTTTTTCCATCCAAGAGATTTTGTCCAAATGGCTTCCAAGCCTTTTTGCTACCATTCTGGGTTATGGTTGCCCCTGAGCCATATTATTTTGAGCCACACATGCTCCAAACACTGAGTCACTAGCATTGAAGATAGTGAAGTGGTTAATCGCTTGGGAAAAACATGTTTTGAAGCCAAGGCAGTTGCAGGTTTTTCTTGTTCCCACCAATTTCGAGTAGGACGAATGATGTCACATAAACATGGCCTGGCTGCCAAAATAGTTTTAAAATGGTGGCCTCTGAAGTCACTTCTTTCAAGATGAATTTATTCAGGATAGCAGGCACTTCAGAGGCTAAAACTTTGGTGAGTGGAAAAGCTTAATGTTTACTTGCTATAGGCGAAGACAAAAAAAGTAAAGTTTTTGGAGTGACCTTCTCCTTTAAATAATTTCTCAAGCCTGATACAATACTAGTGCCCCTAACACACTCGCCTACACTGTAAAGTGGCCAAGATCTTGATACTTTACGAGTAATTCAAGTAGAGCATATTACCAACAAGAACTATTCTTGCTGTCATACTCTATGTCCATCAAACAATATTTTAACTGCATGTTAACTTTTCATCACCTTTTGTAATGTACAAGTAGAAAAAGTCACAGTATAGCGCTGTTTGGACACATCCAGCTACAATGGCAATAAAGTCATAGAATCCCTCAAAATAGTAGCGGTAGATCCAGTTGACAATGTACAAGGCACGGTAGGCACCCAGTGCAAACAAGTAGTGGCTGGTGATGGTCTCTGCCTCACCAGTCTTGGAAATCATGAACAACTGCGGCAAGATGGCTACTGACTCCAGGTAGATGGAGAATGTCCACAGGATCTGCAGAAAATAAAGACAACATAATAATGAGTTTTCCTCATGGTTTGTGTTTTGTTGCTGAAAAGATACTAGACAGGATATTTTGCAATCAGCCCTCATGAAGGCTGCATCTGTTCAAAAAGTAACTTTTCTGTGAGAGCAAAAATATGATTGTATGGAAAAAATATTAATTGCTGGTAGGTACATACATAAAAACATGATTCACCACATTTCCTTGATTAGTGGTAGGTGCCTTTTCTTGATTAAGAAAATGTTTATGAATAAGTGCCCCAATAGAATCATGAAGTTTTCCCTGGATGAATTAACTATGCTAAAACCTTATCACAACATACTAACATGAAACCTATGAAACAATAACGGCTATTAGTAGTTAATTATGCCAACAAGAAGGCTAAATGAGATTGCATCTCTTGACCTCTCTAACATTAAACACCTATAGTTCAGGTATTTCAACAGCTAATGGTAAAACATGTTGTGTTAAATCAACAGTTAGAATTAAAACATATGACATTTCTGTAGTTAACAGAGAAATAAGAATAAACAGTAACACAAGGTCTTCATTTTGAGCTCTCATGGGAGACCTCATGTGACAGATTAATGGAAGTCCTTCAGCAATAAAGAGATATTTAGTGGTTAATCACATCTTATTGTAAGTTTGCAAAGTCATTTAACAGCATTTATTGAATGGTTAGTCATGGTTAAAAAATACTGTTAATATTGACTAGAGCAATCTTCTAATGACTTCCAAAATTAAAAACCGGATTGCTTCAATTTGTGCACTTGATAGTATTTTGCCACACTGAGTGTGGTTAAAATCTTAAATCAATCCTGATTTGGCTATAATTTTGAAACCTTTTTCAACACTTGTAACACAAACATAGCTTTGAAAGACAAGTTTATTAACTGCGCGGCCATGGGCCGAGCACGGTTCATAATCTACCCTTGGTTTATTATTATTATTATTATTTTTTTTGTCGGTGACCAGACCCAAACTTCCTCTTGGCCAAATTTTGAGTAATGCAACGTGTGATGTTTATTCGCTAAAAGCTGTTAAAACATTAATACACGGACAATTTCACGGATATTGTTTTCTATGTTGTGGGTAAAATATATCTTCTTTTGGTTTTATCGAAACATTAGATTCAAACAGAATAATAAATACGCTAAAAAAGGTATTACGTCAGCCATGGAATGCGTTGAAGTTGCAGCTTTCACTTTTGATAGGTGACAAATGAGATTGTGTTTACTTTGCAAGTTTATTTCGCCAGAAGCGATGGTCATTAATTTATTTGCAATTTTGCGAGTATTTCTTGTGATTTTAGGCAAATGAAGGAAATTCTTTGGCTGTTTCATCACAGCGAGGTGATAAATCGGAAGGAAAATTAAATATTTGCAAGCCAAGCAAAGAACTTGCCAGAACACACAAGGATTATGTCATTAGTAGGAAAATAACCACCATACTAAAGATAGCCGTGGATAACGCAATTCTTGAATTATGTGACTCGTGTGACTTCTTTGCTAGCCCTTTACTCAAGGGAAAAAAC